TGATGACATGCCCTTGAATATCATCTAGAATAGGAGGAAAGACGACCTTAGTCACACATCCTATGCACCAGCTTGCACATCCTTCATGTGGTAACGCTGCTAAAATTTGTGATATTATTATACGCAACATATTCCAAATATCGCCAGAAGGGTGGATTGCCTACTGTCGTTTATTTGTCAGACGATGCGAAGTGGAAGTCCCCACCAAGAACATCGATGCGTTTAGCATGAGTCTTTAATCTGCAACGGTCAAAAATTCCCCCATAGTGTTAGAGGGGTAGTGCCAAAGAAGCTGGTGTCCCCATACGTGAATGAACGTGTAAGGAAGCGAGTGCATACAGTCTTGTTATCATTCAAATCGTTTTGGACGAGCCTGAATTCCCGAATAAAGGAGTCAAGACTTCTACACCAGTTCGCCAGAAACCTTGTCAGACCTAGGTTTCAACAGTACTAATGGCATGAGCTTAAGAGGCATTCTGCATTCGAGGAGCAAGTATGCAAAAGGAAAATTCTTCAAAAGAAAGAAACTTGCATTAAGTTCGTCTAATTCTTCCAGGAAGCGCACAGAGCGCTTTGATCCACCTTTAACGTCGGCAACATCCTTTATCGAGAGCGGTTCGTGAGAAGTAGTTTCTTGCAAACTGGTTTTTTTTTCACCAGAGTCATCCCCGACAACGTCCATTGCGTCATCAAGAGAAAGGAGAGAATCGAGAATGTTGCGTCTGCTCTTGGCCGGCTTGCTTGAAGCATCGCTAAAGGAACTGCTTGAATTCTGATTTTCTTTTAAGCTTAGCGGGTCGACTGCTTTCTTTTGTTCCGTCATAACCAGGCTATCTGTGTAAATGCTTGAATGGGCTAGAAAAAGGGGCTTTACCAAAGTCAAGATTCTCGCTAGCCTTCTTGTTTTCTTTTGGTTTGGGCGTGAAATCTAATTCCTCCAGCAAGTCATCGATGTCGCCGGCCAGTTCTGGAGTCTTGTAGGTGTTCTTCGATTTTGGTGTTAAGGATTGCTATCAAAGAAGAATTTTGTTAAATGGAAAAAAAACAATGTCCACCTGTGTCTCATCTGACTCATCCTCGACTTCGGCAGCTAGTCGGTTATAAAAGGTGTCCATGATCTGGAAAGGGAAATGACAACTCCTGTGGATATGGAATCAAAAGGGTGAGCCGCTAACATTAAATCATGAGTTTATTTTGTGAATTAGGTATTGCGCTAAGAATTACACCTTTAAGGAAAAACGTGTGCCCAATTAGAATCTTAGGAACGTCCGGAGAGTTGAAGATGAAAAATTCAGGCACGAAGAACGTGGAGTTCTCGTTCAGGCAGATGGCACTTAACCAACTATAGTAATGGACACTTAATTCTATTTCAGAAAAGTTACCTAAGAATGCAACGGCAAGAAACAGTGTCATGAAATTGTTTACTTACAGACATAAAGACGCCCCATATATCAAGTACCTTGGATTAACAATATGTCCTCACCTATGAATTTCTGATTAGATTGGGAGGTTCTGTGTGATGCTGCGGACTGCAAACAATAATGTATTAATTTTTACATAACACATATTTTTTATACTTCAAGATAAGGTACGCATGATTCAAAATGCCTTAAAATAAAGATTATTCTGTCCACAATGCTTCACTTACTTACGTTTCTAATTCGACTAACTAGCCCAATTTACTAATCGACCTCCCTGACCGTTTCTATGACCTCTTTTGTATGTATTCAATTTTTGTATTTTGTCATTCGTTACTCAATTTACGCAGCCAGAGGACGCAGCTGATGAGCGCTGGCGAAATTTATGGTGCCATTAAATGCTGCTGTATATGCTATCTTCCAATTTGCACCTGGGAAAAGATGCTTCAGATTGTTCTTTTGCTAGTTCACAAGACTACTTAATTGTTAGTGAAATTGGATGCCTTTCTGTAAAACAACTCCCGAGTACTTTCCGTGTTAACTTCGTATCAACAACCTGTTAAGGAGAAAACTGGCTGCAGTCTTAAACATAGAACGGCTTCACGAAAATAAATTGTCAAAAAAGGGCTTTAAGCGAAGTATCTTGTAAACAGTTAGGACCGATACAGGAAGCTAGTCCTTACCCTTATACAGCATAAAGAGTGCTACTCATAGAAGAAGACTTGCAGCTAGTTA